ATATCAAGAACTATTTGATGGATTACAAAACATTTTGTACAGAAGTTCATGGTATCGAGGAAAGGCAACTTTAAGTGAACATCTGGCTTTTCCTCTCAATAATGTTGTAATATTTGGTTGCACTGAAATATCTTGCTATCCAATGTATGTAAATTACACATTCTCCGCCTTCCTGTGGTACTTTTTTGGTGCTAATTTGTCAATGTTAGCATGCTAACCCTCTAAACTATGGTGGTTAACATTGTACCTGGTAAACATCAGCATGGTAGCATTCTAATTGTGAGCATGTACAGGGCGGATCAGGAGTTCAAGACTACTCATAGACCGCAAGATATAATCCAGGCCAAACTGTGGGGGGGTCCTAGGATTTTTACTGTGTTAACTGTATGGGGCTGTATGGGCACTGACATCAATGAAATCCAACATCTTTGAGATGAGCCTTTATTGAGTCTTTATTGTGTTCTTTGCAGGCCAGACCCACATTACCAGTTTCAAACACACTCATCCAGTTGAGCTCTGTAGGACAGCTCCCCCCTCCACACCGATCCACCAAAACAATCACAAACAGAAACTACACACAATGCAACGCAAGTGTTTAGTTGCCTTTAACCGTGGTTGTGACTCAGCATGCAGAGCGCTCTTCCACCAATCCACAGGGTGGTGGTTTGATCCCAGTCCCTGCTGACCTGCAGTCAACATATTGGTGTGTCCTCTGTATGATTGTGTGGGAATGGGTGAATGCTGACTTGCAGATGTAAAAGTTATCATAAAGACTGGAAACGTGCAATATAAATGCAGTCCATTTACCATAACCTAAAGGCTTCAAACTACATTGAACAGCATTAAATACCTCCTCTTGTGTGAACTTGTGTGAACTTTTGCGAACAGTGAACTGAAAGTGTCCTACTGTACGGTTAGACTTCAACGTAAAATGACACAACACAAATTCATAGCAGTGGAATTAATTGGAAATATATTTTTATAGACATCTGTTTTCTCCCACAGTAGGACATCCCTTACTCACCGATCTATTGAAACATCAATCAATCAATCAATCAATCAATCAATCAATGTTTATTTATATAGCCCAATATCACAAATGTTACATTTGTCTCAGTGGACTTCACAGTGTGTACAAAATATCAGTATGACAATACGACACCCTCTGTCCTTAGACCCTCACATCGTACAAGGAAAAACTTCCGGAGAAAACCCACAGTTTAAAGGGAAAAATGGTAGAAACCTCAGGGAGAGCAACAGAGGAGGGATCCCTCTCCCAGGACGGACAGACGTGCAATAGATGCCGTGTGTAAATTGAAAAGATAATACATTTGCAACATAGGTAGTCCAAATGTTTGGAAATGCATGTGTGTATAATAGGAAAATGAATCCAGGACCACAGCCACGACTCAAGATCCAGGGCTCGCGATCCAGGACAGAGGAGCGCAGGATCATCCATGACTCCGGATCCCGGCGTATATAGACACCAAAAAGAAAGACATTTGGGGAAGCTGGGTTAATCAGAACATGAGAGTACACAGGTATAGACAGAGAGAAGGAAGAAGTAAGATCTCCCCCGACAAACTAAGCCTATATCAGCAAAACTAGGGGCTGAATGTAATCAGCCCTAACTATAAGCTTTATCAAAAAGGAAGGTCTTAAGCGCACTCTTAAAAACGGATAGGGTGTCTGCCGTCCGAACACAAACTGGAAGCTGATTCCACAAATGTGGAGCTTGATAAGAAAAGGCTCTGGCTCCCATTGTACTTTTAGTGACTCTAGGAACAACCAACAACCCTGCATTCTTGGAACGCAATGCCCTAGTAGGACAGTAGGGTATAATGAGTTCTTTAAGGTAAGATGGCGCCTGCTCATTAAGGGCTTTGTAGGCGAGAAGAAGAATTTTAAATTCTATCCTGTGTTCTATAGGGAGCCAGTGTAAGGCAGCCAGAACAGGAGTAATGTGGTCCCTTTTCCTAACTCTGGTTAGTACACGAGCCGCAGCATTTTGAATCAGCTGAAGCGACTTGACTGACTTCTTGGTACACCCTGATAATAAGGAGTTACAATAATCCAGCCTTGAAGTAACAAATGCATGGACTAGTTTCTCTGCATCGTTTTGAGGCAAGATATGCCTGATTTTTGCAATGTTACGTAGATGGAAGTAGGCGGTCCTTGAAATTGATTTTATGTGGGCGTTAAAGGATAAATCCTGAACAAATATAACACCAAGATTCCTTACAGTCTCACTGGAGGCCAAATGAATGCCATCCATAGTTAGTTTATCTTTAGATAATTTGTTTCGTAGATTCTTCGGGCCAAGTACAATAACTTCAGTTTTGGTCGTGTTTAACATAAAAAAAAAATTAAATAAAAAAAACATGCCAGCTTTTGGTCATTTTATTTCAAACGTCAGGAACAATACACACACACACACACACACACACACACACACACACACACACACCACACACACACACACACACACACACACACACACACACACACACACACACACACACACACACACACACACACACACACACACACACACACACACACACACACACACACACACACAAACATACACACACACACACACACACACACACACACACACACACACTCGGGGCATGTGTTTAATGATAGGTCTGTTATTGACAGGCTTTATTGACTAGTGTGCTGATTAATGTGTGGGATGTGTGTGTGAATGAGACACTCTGAAGCTATTTAAACACTTGTCTCATTAGTCACACCTTATGTTAGATGGAAAGACACGTAACTACTTGTGAAGCAGGATTGATGATATCAGGGTTTCAAAAGTATGCAACACAAGCAGCAGTGGCAGTGATGCTAAAAGTGATAGTTAAACAGTAGTTCTAAAAAGTGAAGCAGCATTGGCAGTGTAAGTCCTTTATGGCTGTGTGTCTGTCGACTGTCTGTCATCCATCATACCAAAACAATAAAGCAATTTATATTCGGGATAATGTCAACATAATCACCAAAGTCATTGGGGTTCATCATCCAGGGAGCATGAATGTGCTATACTTTGTGTAAAACCCTCATGATCACTTTAGGTTCTGCAGGGGCTTGTGAAGGCGCACTGATCGCTCTAATTGCTGAACATTCATAGGAAAATAAACCAAAAAATAACAAAATAACTTTTCTTCCAAAAATCATTGCAATGCATCCTCTGTGGATAATGAATGTCTGAAGTTGTCAGGATATTTCTATCTGGGCCAAAGTGCCTCAGAAAGACAAATAAAATAACCTCCTTATCTATAAAAGCCTTTTCCAGGTTTATAATGTCTGTATTTCTAAAACCCCGCTGTGAAGGCTATGGTTAGATCCATCATTATCACACAGAATGGGAGTTGAAGAGCTTCCTGTCTGATGTCATAATTTCTCTGGTGGATAAATCACGAGGATGACTTTATCATGAGTTGGTTATCATGTTAACCAACTTTAGCAATATGATTAATGGGGATGGGTGTTTATCTGTCCCCTGTCGTCCCGTAGGGCACTTTGTAATCATAGTTTGCTAAATATGATGTATTTAAAAAAAACTCTGCAGTTTTATTTATCCATTTGCTCAGTAAAGGTTTCCTTTGACATCATCAATGAACAGTTAACTTCAAAAGTCTGACACCCTCACCTCAGTAATAGCTATATTTAGATCACAACACAATGTGGCTCGAACACACAACATGGAAACTATATTCCACCCAAATTGCCCAGTTTTATCTGTTGTCTGTCTGTCAACTTTATCCACCCACGGGGGGACTTTTACCAGATCCAACAGCGAGAAGAGAGGAGGGGGTGGAGGCACAATTCCCCATGAGGCCACAGGAGGGCACACAACTCTCCCAGGATTAGAAAACACGTCTTTAACAATGTGCATCACAAATATTTATGGAGAGTACAAAAGGCTGCAAGGGAAATTATTTATTTCATATAAATATACTCTAAATAAGGAAACATAGAGAGTAAAACAATCCCTTTTCATATCATAAACAGTGTTATTTTAGTTTAGTTTTATTTTGTAGGTCTAGGCCTACATATTGACTGTTACTTTCTGGAGTATAATGCACACATTATTGTTATAATTCCTCTATTTTTAAATATAAATATATATTAGAATGGGGGCAAGTTGGGATCTATAACAAAATCAGACATCCCACGAGGGTAATACGTATACAAATAATTTTTTATAACGAACATAAATTAAACGTGTCCTTATTTGTGTTACCATCGGTGTTTTATAGCATTCATTCTGCTTTGTTTATTTCACATGGCCCACCACCTACGCCTTTACAAAAATTAGTTTACTTTCCCTAGCTGTAAATATCTCTTTGTGACTATATTGAGCTCGTCAGTGAACTGAATCTATTTTTCCTAGAGCATAGTCAAATCACCCTGACAGAAGTTTCCGAGCAGCCTCGCGCAGCTCTCTGACCGGATCATTTGCTTGTGGTTGTGCCAGGCTTCTCTGCTCAGATCGGTAGAACTCGTCACTTTCCGATGATCATATTCCGGAATCAAAACCAAATATGGGAGTATGGGGGACGTTCCCCTGTTTACCGGATTATACCTTTTATGGGTTAAGAAACCGGAATTCCTCTTTCTATATCAGAACGATATCAAATACATTGTAGAATACATGTATAACAAATCATATTTTGTAAAGGAAATGTTAAGAATTAGAGATGCGTTCGCTCACTCTGGTGGGTTTTGTTGATGTGTTGTTTTGTAGGAGTTTATCTCAGTGTATCAGCGAGTGGAAACAGTCCGGTTTATCTCTCCTGCAGCAGCGGGTGCTTCCATTGACAAGTGATTCCCTTTGAAATCGTCACGGAGCCTTCCAGCCAATCAGCGTCGGCAGCGCCTCTCTCCTTGCGCCTCCCACTCCATATATGGGTAATGACGTAGCAGCCGCATTCAAAAGGTTCCCCATATAAACATACTAGTGCCAGGGCCACCGTTCCCAAATAGAGTTACTTTACGCGGTGTTGACATTCACAGCAGAGCGCATGAGGCGCACCAGACACGCGGAGTTCATCCTCTCTCACCCGGTGACAGACAGAGACATGCAGTGGTAACCCAGCGCTACACACTCTGATTTGTTAAAAGCCTTTAAGGAAAAGAACATACAAACAAGAGAGAGCGAGCACACGCGGCATTGTAGATCGTTACAATGACGGCTAAAACTTTGGAGAAGGTGCCGGTGAATCTCGGGGGGTTCGTGCACCCCGCAGCAGAGAGCGTGTACCCGGTGGATGACATGGGCTCCAGCCTGCAGACCTCTGTGGCTATCTTCCCTAGCGGAGACATGGGAGCTCATTACGACCAGATCAACATGGCAGGTAAGATCACAGACTTTGGAGCGAAGGCTATATTAAGGACATTTTCATCAAGGAATTTATGTGAGTGTTTCACTAATTCTGAAAAAAAATCTTCATCCTCAAAATGTTGTTTTGCATTTGAATCCATTATAAGAAAATCTGTCCAATATGTTTTTTATATAAAGGTAATAAGACCAGATTTCGTGCGTAATGAGGGGGGAAAGCGCAGCGGCTTTCTCTCACTTACGCCCAATGTCCTGTCCAGTGTGAACATCTTAACATCTTAATCAGGTTTGTGTTGCCTCACTAAAGACCTGTTTGTTTTGTGTCCGCAGATGGCTTGATGAGTGCAGATCTGAGCATGGAGAAGCGCTCTCTGGACCTGTCATACTCCAACGGCTTCTCTCAGCCCGCACATCACCGCAACCAGACCTTCACCTACATGGGAAAGTTCTCCTTCGACTCCCAGTATCCAGGTAACTGGAACCCCGAGGGAGTGATCAACATCGTCTCGGGCCTCTTTAACGTGGCCCAACCACCACCTCCTTGTCCCTCCTCTTCAGCGTCCTCCTCCCCGGTTTCTTCTGGATCTCCCAATCACTTCTCCAGCGGAAATTTGAGTTGCACCATGGCGGCTCAGAACCAGGCTGAGATAGATCACCACCACCACCACATGTACTCTCCTCCACCTCCGTACTCCTCCTCTGGCTGTGGAGAGATGTACCAGGACCCCTCTGCGTTTTTGTCCCCCACCTGCCCCATCGCCTCTTACCCACCGCCCTCTTACTCTTCGCCCAAGCAGCCCGGGAGCGACGCGCCTGGGCTGTTCCCCATCATCCCCGACTACTCGGGCTTCTTCCAGCCGGCTTGCCAACGGGACATGCACCCTGCAGGTATCCAAGATCGGAAACCGTTCGGTCCATGTCCGCTTGACACTTTCCGTGTCCCTCCACCTCTGACCCCGCTGAACACTATCAGGAACTTTACGCTGGGGGGTCCGGGTACTGGCGGCTCCGAATGTGGACCAACGAGGCTACCCTCTGCCTACAGCCCTCAGAACCTGCCCCTGAGGCCGATCCTGCGGCCCAGAAAGTATCCTAACCGACCCAGTAAGACGCCCATCCACGAGCGGCCGTACCCGTGTCCGGCTGAGGGCTGCGACCGGCGGTTCTCCCGCTCCGATGAACTGACCAGACACATCCGGATCCACACCGGACACAAGCCGTTCCAGTGCCGCATCTGTATGCGAAACTTCAGCCGCAGCGACCACCTCACCACGCACATCCGCACGCACACGGGAGAAAAGCCGTTCGCGTGTGAGTTCTGCGGGCGCAAGTTTGCCAGGAGCGACGAGAGGAAGAGACACACTAAGATCCACCTGAGACAGAAGGAGAGGAAGTCCTCCACTGTGTCCTCCTCGTCCTCCTCTTCCTCCAGCAGCTCCGGGTTGGAGCGGCCGTCAGGCGCCATCAGCACATCTGGCGGGATGTGTTCATAGTTTCCCGGGAAAACGTTTTTGTAACCATGGCAGCGTGGCGCACACTAACCACTTAAAGAAAAATGACTTTTAAATAATGATTCGGTGTGTTTGAATGTTGTGAACTAAAGAGAGCAGCATAACCTGCAGGATGGGAACGAACAAGATCTTCTGTGCAGTGGTGCGCTTTTACGCACATCCACCCATTCCGTCTCAAGAACTGATGGAGAGACTGACACGAATGCACTTTGCCTGTACAGTCTACTGAAAATAAAATAAATAGCTATTCATTCATAAGAATATATGAAGGCGGTTGTAATATAAAGGGGACTTTTTTAATTTCGCCAACTCATAGGCCAACTAGAGCGCGCAACAGGCTGCGCGTATAAATGTGAGATAACGGCAATAACGTTTTAAAGAAAGAAAACAGTCTAAGTTATTTAATTGAAGTGTTCATTCTAACATGATTGTAATGATTATAATTCCCCTTTAGTGCCTTGCTTTGTGTCTTTTTGTACACTGACTGATTCAAGGACGCTTCTAATGCAATGTACATTTGTCCTTATTTAAAGTTTGAAGAATCTATTTTTGTACACATTTCGTCTCGTCTAACAGTTGTGGTTCATGTGTAAAACAATGTTGGAATGTAAATATGTTGAACTCTTACCGACTTGACCCTTTTGTTGTGACGTGTCTTTTGAGACTTATTAAATATATGTGAATGATAAACACATCTCAGATTGTTTTATTACTCATAACTCGAGAATAGCGCAGTCAGGCGAGATGCGTGCATGGAACCCAAGCGTCTCTGCAATACATTTATTTTATCTGTAATTATAAAAAGACTGAAGCTGTTGATGTTGGAAATTTCATTTGGGTAAATCCCACACTGCGTCACTATTGGCATTTCTGACTCAAAGTGTTCACCCACTCGCTTTTTATTTAGGTTTAACGCTTTGTTATAAACAGATAGGATCTGGTGTGTGCACTTCAGAGAGAGGGTGACATAAATAGTGTTTAGAGACTCTGTGGCTGAACTATCATTTAGAATAGATGGGATAGTTATTTAAACTACTGTTTAGAAGAACGTAGAAATAAAGGTGTAAGGTATAAGAATACAATATCACCATATTCACAGGCAGCCTTGCAAATATTTAGAAATACTGAGGTCACAAGTCCAAATACCCCACTTAAGCCCCCCATGTAATGTTTTACATTTAAAATATTCAGTTTATCTTTATTCTTTTTAAATAGATGTCCAGTATAAAGGTCTTAATGCTGTTTTAAAGCCTTCCAATCAAATGTTGGTAGAGAAATACAGCATCCTTTATATGTTCCATTTTCCTTACTCTTTATTTCTATTTGCTTACCCTTAACTTATAATATATTGATTTAAAAAAAACTCAAACATCCCTTAAAAGCTTAAACAGTCCAATGTAGTCTCTAGTTTGATAAAGCCCAAATCCCTTACATTAAATATGGAGTGCAATACTTTTTGATATATGATTCCATAATTGTTATATCCTTTTTATTTGGAACTCAGTAGAAACACGCACTCCTTTTACATTTGACCAGCTGAAATCTTTGTGATGTTTATTTGTAAACTTTGGTGGGTTTTTTGGTTGTTTTATTTCCTCTGTCCGTATCATTGAAACCATCCCTCTGCGGAGTGGGCTGCTGGCCCCCTGTTTCCATTCCACTGACATCAGGATGTGGCTCTTCACTTCAAGAGCTTTCACTTAAAGGTTCATTAACAAGTTCATGAGTCAATGATTACTAATGCCTACATTTTACAAATGCACAGTTTAATTTAGGCATTGATATTCAGTGAAAAAAACACCTTATAGAAAACCTAAAAGTAACCTAAAGTAAAAACTAAAAGCTTTATTCTACATTTAGATGTGCGGTTACTTATGACAATATTAATATATAAAGAATGACATTCTGCTGTTTGTTTATTCCACTTTCCCAAACTGCTATTGTGTTGCTCTGTGGTACTGGACTAACATTGGATGTCACTATAAGTCCTGTCCCTTTGCATCTCCGGGATCTTGAGTAGCAATGTGTCACTTCAATGTGTCACTTCAATGTGTCACTTCAATGTGTGAGCCGAGCAGAATCCAGGATGAAGTGACTGAACTGTGGGGAGGTTGTTCAACATTTCTTTATTTAACACAATATGAATAAACTGTTTTTTTCCCAATACAAAGTCACATTTGTCTTGAATAATTAGTAAATGATTGGTTGTTTAATTGACTTGTCGGATGTCAGCTGAAAGCCTTTATGATCAGAAAAGACTGTATTGTCATTGAGCAATGCCACCGTGGGAGAATCCAATACTTTACAATGGTCTGGGGTATAGTAGCTCTGGAGATAGGAAGGTGCAGTTTTCTAATAGAGGTATAGGTCGCCCCCCCCCCCTACACACAGATTAAAGGGAAATTAAGCTTCTTCTTTGATTTCTGGATGGAGTACACATTTCTCTTTTAAGAAGCGGCATGAAGCCTGCTGTAATCTGTAACATCTTTATTCTTCTGACGCCAAGTTGACCGCAAGTCCAAATGACCGATTCTGTAGAAAGTCATGATACAAAGACCTCACTGTTCTCCTACCCCCCCCCCCCCCCTTACTGAACGTCTGCTCACACTTCCCTTTAACCCTCTTTATTAAGCATTTACAGTATAAGCAGTCAATTAAATAAATGGTCTATAAGTCATGTAAGGCCTTACCACGTCATGTCATTGTAATCAAATATAAGAACTGTTTCAGTGTGTGTTCATGTACTGAAATGTATCCTCTTATACAAATAGTTTTTTGATAATAGCCTCCACTTCTCGGTGTCCACACAGGAGGATCTAGTTGTTAGGAAATACATGAATGAACACTACGATCTGCTTTCACTTTGTGTCATAACATGTTTATGAATTGATCTATGCAAATGCTTAATAACTCAACTTCCTTTGTATATCACATTCAATACAAAAACGCAGCCCAAAGTGCTGTGTGTAGCAAGGTTAAAGACATACAAAAAACAGAAATAGAAATCAATAATTAAAAAATGTATGATTTAAGATGATTTCAAATGGACTTAAAGTCCAGCGACAGTCCTATAGGAAGAGATGTGTAACTCCTGATAATCAGTGTGTGATACTGCACCTTCTCTCCTCTTATTATGTTGTTGAATTCAGATCATGGAACATTTCCTAATAAATACAAGTTACAACAGTCTTTAGTGAGTGTGACACCAAAGCATCTGACCATGAGAAAAAGACACACATCTGAAATCTGAATGAGCCGCTAATAAAGACTGTTCTTGTTCACGCTGCACCACAAGTATTCCACACACTGATCAGCCGGCCTGATAGACTTTACTCTGAACATTGAGGATAAATGCATTTAATATGAGCGGCTGCCACTGACCTGACTGACTGTCACTGTGTCGGAGTGTAGCCAAGTGTGTGAACATGCAGACATGAATATTAGCACTGTGTCAAGTAGTGGTACACAGATCCTTTACTTGTGTAAAAAACGCATATATCAATGTACAAATATGGAATTACAAGTAAAAGTCCTGCATGAAAATCCTAAATAAGAGTACAAAAGTTTAGGCATTTGCAATTACAAGCTTGTCATATTAACAATGGTCGTAAATCTTCATAATAAAAGTAACTATGTAGTGGAGTAGAAAAAGTACAAAAATTCCCTCTGAAATGTGCTATTACTGTAAGTCAAAAGTACTTATGTGCAGTAATAGCATTAAGAGTTATATATTCTGAAAGATAATGAAAGGAAACAGTAGAGAAGCAGTTTGTTTATAATAACTAAAGCTTTACAGAGCTGCTGATGGAAACAGAAAACCTGCTTTATAGAGGATTTCCATCCGCTTAGAGATAAACTCATTTCAATTTCAAAGGTTTAACAGCAGATATAAGTTTGTTACATTTTAAAACCTATACTTTGCATACATTTTAAGTCGTGCGGCACATCTTCTTTGGTATCTCAGAGTGGGAGAAGACTCTCAGGACGTTGACCTTGTTCTTCGTCTTCTCCTCGAGGCTCTGGTCTGTGTGTTGGGGTCGCTGTCCTGCTGGAGCTCCTCTCTCCGCCTGCTGTCTCGCACTGACTTAAGGACATGCATCTATTCCTTTGCACTTGTTTCACTTTCTTCTTCTAAATGTTAAAATCACACGCCTCCACCCTTTCTGCATCACCACCGTCCTAGACTGTAGACCCTAACATCTTTACTAACTCACTGCTGTCAGGGCTGTTAGACATGCTAACATTAACGCTAGTCCAGGACAATGGTTATAATTCAAATATAAATAGTGAATTGTGCTCATTGACTCAAAGACTGTAAAACAGATACAAATAGAAAGTGGGTGGAGTTGTGCTCTGCTTCTAGAGGCTTTGTACTACTGTCTTCCTATTGGCTCACAGACCTGTGGTTATAGCCTCAACATGAAATGTTGTGATATCATAACGGTAGAAAAGGAAAAGCATGTAGTAGACGCTGTCTGAGGTGGCTGTGTGAGATGAGTTGACTGAGCCTGTTTTTATCACAGGTTTGGCTGGAATATGGAAAAAACGTGAAACCGTCACAAATGTACACAGCAGTGAAATATACACTCTGCATTCAATTCCTCTTAGCTTGTGCTAGTTCCAAGTCACTGACGGTATGCGTGCTAGAGCCATCATTAATATCATTAATTACAGCCCTTTTTTTCTACTATTACAACATTCAAAAACAACCCTTCACGTCTCAGAATGATATCATTTCACAAGGATTGGACTGCTGACTAATCCGAAATCCGAAAAATGAAAAATGAACAACACTACAGGACTACGAACGTGATGTTCCATGATTATTACCATGTGTTTTATTGTTGCACATACATTGAACATCAGAGTAACAGCATCGCTTTAAAGTGGCTCGTAGACCTGAGCCGCTGTCTGCAGAGATGTCAAATAAAGTTTGACACACACACTGGAATGATATAGTGTTTATCAAGCTACATGTAAGAGTTTGTGAAGAAAGTGTACACGTGTTTGTTTGATATATAGGGAAATGCAAAAATTCTCTAAAATAGCTACAGTTTAAAAATATAATGTATTTTCATAGACTATACATTTGGTCTGGACTGGGTTTAAAGACTTCCATCAGGCTTAAATATGAGGCATCACACAGGCCCTATCACTGTGGATGTGATACGTAGCTGAACATCAGCTTACTATGCATCAGCTCACCAGGCCTGTGTAGGAATCATGTAAGTGGAATAAGTTAAACGCATCAAATACAAATACAGCATATATAAAGTGTGTGCATTGTGGAAGAAGAAATGAGTGTCTACCATTGAAATACAGCTCTAAAGTATACATTCACAAATAAGGCAATGTAGTCGTCACAGGCTTTGGCATTAAGACACGTCACGATGTGGAAGAGTGAACAACTCAAATGTAAAGGGCTTTCCAAGCCTCACAAACACAGAGACTCTAATGACATCCCATCATTCACAGAACGTTTGGCTAATTACATTCATGTGTGTAGAAGGCAACATAATGGTCTGCAGAAAAATACCATATTAGGAATGCAAACTCCTCGTGTCAACTCAGTTCTCAGGACTGAAAGGTAACTCGTGGAAGGTGAAGAGGTCCTGATGTGTTCAATC